CAATTATGAAAAAGGCAATGTCCATGCCTTCAAAGCATTTACAACCCAGAATAGGAGAATATAAATTAACTGAGAAATAAAAGCAAAAAGTAAACCAGTGGGCAGGTGTGATGGCAGGCTTGCCCAGGGGAAGGTGTCAAAAGGGATCTTCTTCTTTTTTTTTTTTTTTTTGGTGATGCTGGGGATGAACCCAGAGGTGTTCTACTATTGAGCTACATCCCCCAGCCTTTTTATTTTTATTTTGAGACAGGGTCTCGATACATTGCCTCAATGATCCTCCTGCCTCAACTTTTAGTAACAGGATTACAGGCATGTTGCCACCTCACCCAGCTTAAACAGGGTCTTGAAGAATAGTCATAAAAAATATTCTTCCTTCTGTCTCTGTCTTTCCCCCTCTCTCTATAATGTACACCACCACATTTGGTTTCCTAAGCAGATGAGTCTTGCCATTCCCATTCTACAGGAGAGAAAAAGAATCTCTTTAAAGTTAAGCAATTTTTCTAAAGTTGAAAAATTAATAAATAGCAGATTTGGGAAGCAAACCCAGATCTTCTCTTTCTACAATAACGTGTGTGTGTGTGTTGTATGTGTTTGTGTGTGTGTGTTGTGTTACTGGGGACTGAATTCAGGAGCCCTCTACCACTGGGCTAATTCCCCAGCCCTTTTTATTTTAAAAATTTTTGAGAAAGGGTTTTGCTAAGATGCTGAGGGTTTTACTAAATTGCTGAAGTTGGCCTTGAACTTGCTATCCTCCTTCCTTAACCTCCCGAATTACTAGGATTATAGGCCATCACACCTGACTGCAAAAATAATATTTCTTGAAGTATGGATTCTGACACCTGGACTAAATTATTTGAGGGACTACCCCAAACCTTTTGAATAAAAAATTTGTTAGTATGTTTTAGGAATCTATATTTAAACAGAATCTGAGGGATATCTTGGAAGTTTGGAAAACAGTGAAGAACGGAATAAGGGGAATCCAGGTTGAAGGAATGTTATAAAGGCTCAAAAATGAAAGCTACATTTTTTCAGTGGTAAATATTCTGAGATTTTTTAGACCATAGATATGTTATGAAAGGATTATAACAAAAAAATGAGACTAGAATGGTTGGATTATTAAAGATCTTCAAAGGTATATGAAGGAGTTGTTATTTTTTTGATAAGTGATATAGACCTATCAAAGATTTTTCTGAATATATATATATTTTTTTTCACTCAGGTGAATCAGTAAGATTTATCTGAGGTTTTTTTTTTTAATCTCTATAAAGTAACTTTTAGCTCTTAGGTCTCTTTGTGGGTTAATACTTTGGAACCTACTATATATGGATCATTTAATAATTAATTATATTTTAATTTTCTAATAAGCCTCTTTTTCACATCAGAGTCTTTTTTTTTACAATACCTTTATTTTATTTACTTATTTTTATGTGGTGCTGAGGATCAAACCCAGGGCCTCCCATGTGCTAGGCAAGTGCTCTACCGCTGATCCACAATCCCAGCCCCTTTTTCTTTGTCTTTTGAGATTATGCAGTCCTTTGAGGTTTTCCTCCGTGATTTTTCCTTTTTGAAACCATATCACATTACTTGGAAAAGTTTAGTTTTTTCTAAACTTAGGAATTTTATTGTTCATGCATTTTTAGAGAAAATTAATTTTAATAATCTGAATGTTTAGTTCAGTAGTAACTGATTAAAGTCTGCCATTTTCCCTCTCTATCATTGTTTTCACTTATATTTATAAAACATTATTCCCATCCTAAGGAATATTTTTTATGGAATATATTTTATATTTTCTGAATATCTAGTATGGATCAATTATTATGTTAGAAACTTTAAAATTTTTATTTAATCCTATCAACTATTCTTTGAAGTAAATATTATTACATCCATTTACAAACAACATATTTGATTCTCAAAGAGGTTCATAGCTGAAAATTTTCATAGCCAAAATCTCTTTCTGAAGTCTACATTTAAAAGAAAGTATGATTCAGATTTGAGTATAAAACTATTACAGTTTCCTACTTCAAGGAAACACAATATAATATTTAGTATAGTATAAACATTGGAAAAGGGTTTTTTTATAATGTTTTAGTTATACATGGAAACAATATCTTTATTTTGTTTATTTTTATATGGTGCTAAGGAACAAACCCAGTGCCTCACATGTACAAGGCAAGCGCTCTGCTACTGAGCCACAACCCCAGCCCAGAAAAGGGATTTTTAAAATCCAGTTCTGCCACTTACTAGTTGTGTAACTTGGGCAAATAGGATGAACCCAATTCCCCATCTGCACCTTAAATGAATAATATAAAGTTTCTATTTATTGTAGATGCTTTATAACCCCTGTAGGTACATAACAAGTCTAAATTATTTATCAAAAATTTCTCCTCAACTATGAAATATTTCTCTTTTTTTTTTGAAGAGAGAGAGAGAGAGAGA